CTCTATCTCTTACTACTGTACCTCTCTCTCTCTCTCTCTCTTCCCTTCGTCTCCTTGACACACAGCTACTCTCTCTATCTCTGTTCCTTTGCGCTTTGTGCTCGGCACTGCCACAATGATTCCTTCCTCAGCTTCATCTTCCTCGGGTTCTCGGAAGAAGAGGATGAAGCGTGGCCCAAAAGCCCAACCGGGGACCAAGTGGCGGACCGCGGCGCAGGAGCGGGTATACGGCCGACGCCTCCTCGAGGCCCTCCGCGCCACTGCCGAACTCGGGCCGCGCGCCGTCAAGGAGGCCGCGGACTCCGCCCTCGCGTTCACCGCCCGCGGCCGGTCCCGGTGGAGCCGCGCCATCCTCCTCAGCCCCCGCCGCAGGGCGCGCCTCCTCCTCAGGACCGGCAGCAAGATCCGCCGCGGCCGCAGGCGGGCGAGGGCCGCGGAAGCGGGGGAGAGGGTGAGGGGCCGGCTGCGGGTGCTTCGGCGACTGGTGCCTGGGTGCCGGACGCTGTCGGCTGGGAGCCTTCTGGAGGAAGCGGTCGACTACGTGGCGGCGCTGGAGATGCAAGTGAAGGCGATGAGGGCGCTCGCGGATGCGCTCTCCCCGGCGCCAGCGGCGGCGGAGCCTGGAAGCCGAGGAGGTGTTTGATGGGGTCTCCTTTCTTGTGTGATACGATGGAACAACAATAATTAACGTATAGGATTGATGTGAAGACGATTGGTGGGAATGTGGTGTAACGCTTGTAGAATCTCGATGCTCGTAGACGCCCCTTCCGACAAGGACACAAATCTTGATGCAACACCGGCTTTGATGATTTGCTATGCTGCGATCGAATCACGGGCTTAAACCGATTCGGTTATATTTGATAGCATAACAATTACGTTGATACTTATTATATTTGATATATATATTTATAATATTTATCTGATGAGATATCAAATTTATCTGAGGATTGAAATTTCATCCACTAAAGTTTAATATATAAGATATCATATTCACTCATCTACAACAGTGATCTTATTATTATATATAAAATTTTATTTATCGTCGTCATCAAAAAGTCTAAAATTTAAGATAATAAATTTTTGAATATGGTTTATTAGTTTAAATTCTAAGAACATTGACGTTAGTTTGATCAGCGTGAAATAATTCTGATACCATAGATAAGAAAAAGGCAATCTATGTTGGCAATAGGAGGGAAGGAACCAAGAAACACACTTCTTATGACAAGAATCCACCAATCGTTCATGGTTTATAGGAGGACATCATTTACATGGGAAGTCCTTTTTACCTTACCAGTTCAAGCATTCCATTGTTTCTCTTGAAACCTCTAAAACAACTACTAGTATTGAGGTATGTGTTTAGAACTAAATGCTTTGGGCGGAGGCATCGGAAGACCATCCACTAATCCGGCTAGTTAGAGCAGGTCTCATCGTGACAATGGCGGACTCATTTGCTCCGGCCCTCAATGCAGCCCTGCCAGCTTCCAGGAACCTTGCGACCGCATCCTCGGCATACCTGTTTGCTTGACCCACAGTCATGCCCTCGCCAATGTATGGATAGGTGTTAAGCACATGGTCTCCATTGAGCTGAGAAGCGAGTTGGATCAGTTCCACCTGAAACTCCGACAGCACCTTGTCTTCCCTTGGTCCAAATGGCCTCAATGACTTCACCTTTGGGAGTTTCTCTGATCAAGCAGTCAATGGTTAGCTATCAGTAACAAAATCAGTTCACCAATGTGTATGACTGAAGCATCAAGATATGACACAAGGACTTTCATTTTCAGGGCTGAGGTGAAAAGGTTTCAGTTCAAGCTTGCCTAGCCTGACTAAGATGTCTAAAGCTCATGTATGATGACATTCGTCCTATACATATCTCAGGTATCTGAAATCAAAACTTATTTCGACAAACTAGATTCAGTCAGTCTCCAAAAGGAATGAGGTTTGTCTTTTTGTGTTGAGCATCTTACTATTGCTGCTGAATTGTATAGATTCACAAAATTAAAGCCCCGAGAGGGAAAGAAAAACTATTCAATCTGCAATCAGACACCTGGTTTGGTGTAACAATCTAAATGTTATATCCAAACTTGAATAAAGAACCTAGATATTCATTTACTTCTCCAATTACTAGTCTTTTGGTTGTTTTCAACAAACATATTGATCTCATCTTAAACACTAGTGAACTAATGCATGTGCTTATTCCATGGAACGTACATGGATATGCATGCTTGTGCTTGTAAATGTATTACACATAAAAGTGGATACCTGGGCAATCAGTCCGTGGTGTCTTCCGGATGGATAAGTGGCTCTCGAACGTCCCAGCCCAAGCATCTCTCTTTGTGAGAAAATTCGAATTCAGGTTAAATAATTTCCTTACCGTTGCTGGAATGGAAGAGTGCTCAAACTGTGAATGTGGAGTTGGCCCTTTAGGTTCATGGATCACTGCACGATCAAAGGAAATAATGCAAAAAAACTACATCAGATCCCACATGACAACATAAGAATTTATAAAACAGCCATATATTTCTTGTCGCTGAGCTCATGGATCACTTCAATGTACTGTGCATGGCAGAAATGCAAAACCTTCAGAATTTGTTGGCAAAACCCTGAACATGAGCTGGAACAATGTGGCGATCAGCTTGGATCCATGCCAATATGCGTGTGTCAAGCCAGCAAAATATCGGCAAGCATCCATGGTGATATGAGCATTGCCAAGCCACCAAAATAGACACGATAGTAACTTCTGCCTTATTCAGAAGTGCAACCAACAAAACAGAAAATTAAACTTTTCCTTATTCTCTTGAAGAAATTTCTTTTTTTCTATTCTTTGTTGCACAACAAAGGTCAACCTAATTGCCACCGCCTCCACAAAGGTATAGGTCCAGATACATTATGAACTATTGATCAAGCATTGAATACACATTTCGAGTTTCTACTCCGAATCTCTTCCATCTCTATCTTGTCTGTTCTTTTCTCTCTTTGTAAGAATAGATTTACATGGGTTTCCTTTTCTGCCGGTAAATTTCTGAGCATGGTATGCATGACGTTTAGAAAAGAAAAGGCTTAAAGCACATTCGTAAACTATCTCAAATCCCAATACCATTTGCTTGTGAATATCAAATAAATAGCAAATTAGCTCCACAGGCAATGTCCTCACACTGATCTCTTGATTATTAATATTAGAGATGAAAAGAAATTGAATGGCACCTCTAACTGCACCATATTGATCTTCCGTCATCGCATGTACCCTCTGACCCATCGCTTTCTATTATCCCTCAAACCGAATGGCAGTAAGACTGCCTCAAAAGCTACACATTCTATTTTATCAGATATATGTGTCTAAAGGCAACACTTCCCTGAAAGAATTTTATCCCCAAAACATTAGGATAAAATTTCCACAACTACAGTATTCTGCCACCTTTCAAATACTATACAGATATTAATCTCAAAGCTCACTCCTTCCTCCATAAACATTAAGCAATCCATATGGTATGTTAAATTGATGGGGATTGTAAAGAAAACTATTCATTGGTCTTCCAAGCTCTGCTTCGTTATGCTCAAATCCACCAATTTTCATGGGAAAAGTTCTAATGATTTCATTTCCTTATGGCCACAGCCATATATTCTTGCGGACATCATAAGTACTTATTATTTAAATCACTTATGATGCTTCATTTCCACACATTTTCACATAATTCTTGTTAAGTCTGAAAATTGGCCAATATCATCCTGTTTCCAACAAAATATGTTCAGTAAGAATTATGTCACCTCCCTTAAATGGCTGAACCTCCCTAGAGTAAGTATGGATGACATCCAAAAATGAATCAACCACTTATTATGCACAGAACTATAAGAACAAAATTGAGATTTGAGAACATTAGAGAATGGAAATTTCAGTAAAAGAAGACATTCGATCAACTATCCAATCCTTCATCAGACTACACAAATGACTAGCTAATCAGAGGCAGACATCAAGGGATTCAGATAGATTTTTTAATGTGCATCTTGTATTGACCAACATTATGTGAGAAAAAGTGAAGCTGTAGAGAAATTATACTGTAAGAAGATGTATCAAGACTTTATTGCAAGAAAAGGAAGCTGTAGTTCATGGTAGCTACATGTAGATAGTTGATGTACGCATTAAAAAGGCTCTAAAGAAAAGCTTGGCACATCACAGATTCTTTAATTGGAAACTCAGAACTTATACATATCATAATTGGTTAAGCTGTTAGAAGAGTTTTAGGAAACAAAAGTTTATAACTATTATGGATCTTGCTTAATAATATGATTCTGTGTACGAATCATACCATATATAAAGCTAAGTTTCATGAGCAAGAATTTATACTTGTAACTAGGTCTACATGCACAACAAGTAGTTGCCATAAAGAAATGAAATCATGCAATGGTTACCAAAGGTTCTCCTCCCCTAGAGAATAATTGCAAAGACAAGAATGGTGAATAAATTATACAGTAATAAATTGCAAAGACATCACAACAATTGAACTGAGAATACAAATCTTAATTAGCAGTCTGCATTTCAAAAGCCAGTATCAGTTTCACCCTAGGAAGAGTCACAAAAAGAATGGAGAAATCCAAAAGAGACACTCACCGGTGCGCTTCTCGATCCAAGGGGAGATCAGGATGGTGGGAACTCGAACCCCCAGCCTATCAAACTTGAAGTAGAAAGGGTCGGGGCCGATTATGCCATCAGGGTTGGGCACCCCTGTGACAGGAGTAGGCACGTGGTCGTAGAATCCACCATGCTCGTCATAGGTGATGAGCAGGGCCGTCTCATTCCACTGTGGGCTCGCCCGGAGCGTCTCGTAAACCTCCTTCACAAGCCTCTGACCCCTGGCGATGTCGTGGGAGGGGTGATCATCGTTGGCCGGGGAGAGCTTCACATCGAAGTAGTGCTGCTCGATGACGACGTAGTTGGGCAGCCGGCCCAGCTTGGCGTCCAGCTTGAAGGCCAGTTTGTAGCTGTGGAACTTGACGAGGTGCTTGAGCTTACGCAGGCTCTTGAAGAAGAGCACGGCGGGGATGTTCTGGTAGTAGACGCCGAAGCTGAGGCCATCCTCGTCGAGGGAGTCGAAGATGGTCTTCTGGGGAAAGCCATGAACGAGGTCCCGGCGCACGTTGCTGGTGGCGCCGTGGGAGGTGGCGGAGTGAACGTAGAAGCGGTTGGGCTGGGTGGAGGCCGGGACGGAGGCGAACCACCGGTCGAACACCGCGAACTCCTCCGCGAGGGCGGAGTAGACGGGGACGGCATCGGGGGCGAAGCCCCGCATGACGGTACTGGCCATCCCCTCGCCCATGCTCTCAGCCTGCTGGGCGAAGCCGCTCATGGGGGCGGGCACGGCGGCGGTGTCCTCGGAACCGAAGATCTGCTCGCGGATGGCCTGGAAGGAGTGGCCGGGGTCAGAGTCGACGTAGGCGGCGCCATCGGAGACGAAGACCTCCGGGGAGGAAGGGTCGGAGGCGTTAAGGCGGTTGTACTCGTGGCCGGTGAGACCGTCGATGTCTGGGCGGCCGCCCTTGGTCCGGAGCCAACCCAGCATGTGGTCGAACGACCGGTTCTCCATCACCAGCACAACCAGGGTCTTGATCGGCCCCTTGATCTCGTGCTTCGCCTTCTTCTTCCTCCTTCCCGACACCGCCCTCTCGGCGTCCAGGCAGTGGGCGGAGGTCACCAGGTAGAGCAAGAAAACGGCCACCACCAGGAGCCTCCGCCGCGCCCGCCGCCCGCCCTGAGCCACCAAATCCATCTCCCTGCCGCCCCACGGAGGAGCCCGGACGAAAGAGTCCCAAAGAGCTCCTCCCTTGCTCAGAGACAAGAGAAAGAAAGGGGAGGTTTTCTCGAGTGCGGTTGGTGCGTCGACTCGGGCAACAAATGGAGAAGGGGCTACCGACGAGCGGGGCCGACACAGAGGGCAAGAGGCATACCACCAAAGACACCAAGCTTAAAAGAGAACGAGGGACACGTCACGGCCTTGTTTACTTGTCTTTTACCCTTGGATTTGAATCGGACGGCGATGCGGGTAGGCCTTCCGTCGCAGTCTTGGCCGAATAGGATTCGGCGGTCCTTTTATATATATATATATATATATATATATATATATATATATGTATATATATGTATATATATATATGTATATATATATATATGTATATATATATATATATATATGCAATTGAATTACCAAATGAATGATCTCCTAATAACATTCTCTCGATCCATCTTTTGTCACAATCATGGCAAACAATCTTACATGATGATATTTCATGTCCGTTCCAAGAAAAAGGTAAAGATAAAAGGGGGAAGTTTAGGAAGAAAAAGGTAAAGATAAAAGGGAAGTTTAGGAAGATAACCAACAAAACCTTCATTACAACCTGTACTCTGCCTCCTCCTATTTTCAACATCCAAAGTTGGGGCTATGACCTTTTTTGAGTCATAACAACAGGAAATCAAGATGTAGACAAGTGAAAGAATCTGTCGGCGCTTGATCCTGACGTTAAAGATGGAAGGATGGACAACGAAATCTGCACCCATTGCAATATCTGGACAGCAGCGGTGTTCATTCTCCATCTTCAGAATCTGTCCTTGAATTAGATGAACATCAGCTAGTAGTAGACATTACCTTGAAGCACTTATATCATGAATTAAAGAAGATAAGAAACCTCCACAAGGAAAATGTCTGGTTTTCAGAAAAGTTACTCGAGGAGATCCTACATAGTAAGTATCAATCACAAGGAAAATTTTCTGTGAAGTTCTTCACATTTGCATAGAGATCTATTATATTTTGGCATGCTCCACATATTGAGGTGCCATGATTGTTTGAGACATGCTACGACAAAATCAATATAGCAAAATCTGGTCCTGGAAAATCTCTTAGTAAAATCTCTTACTAGGTATTCCTAGCAGACAAGTCATATTAATATATGCAACTGATCAGCCTATTTCAATTTTTGATAGAAAACTTCTATAACATGCAAAAGTGTACAAGTAAAGATTGTTTGGAAACAATTACCTGATCGAATGTCCTCTCCCACTTGACCTTTATTACTCATTTGCTTCATTATCATTGCAAATATTAGTTTCCACCAGTAGGCGTGGAAGACAAGCAGTGTAAGAAGCATTGTGTTGAACACATAATATAAAGTGGTCGGGAAATTTTCCATCCACGACAATGCTTCGACACACTCGTAGCTGAAAATGGAACCATTTATCAATCAGCACAAATATAAAGGAAGGTTTCTCGCTTTTTTAAAGAAAGCATTTGAGGCTGCAGAAAACCTTGACGCCTTAATTATCCAGAAGGGGAAGTAAACTAATCGCAGTAGAAACCATGATATAGCAAAAAGTCCGAAGCACAAGCTAGCTGCCATCTCCTTTTCTGAATATTTGAACAATTTAGCTGATTCTAGAAATACATCACTTGTATCATGAAGGGCAAGAATCATGGTCCCAATACGGAAAAACCTGCATAAGAAAATTCATCATTTCCCTATTTCTACACTTGGTAAAGACCTCACAGGAAAACACCAGCATATGCATCAATAACTAATACAGGTTTATGTATTTGAAATTAAAATTTAAGTTTAATATACAAAGAAAGTTAAATACAGAGATAACTGTCAGTCTCAACTACGTAAATTTTCCAGGGAACAACTGGTGATGATGCAAGAACTGTGATTATCATGACAATATGATACAGTTAAGTACTATAATTATGTGCTAATCAAGAAAAAAGTGTCTTGGATTAGCAAATCAACATAAAAGTGGCAAAAAAAATAATAAATCTTTTTCATTACTTTCACATAAGTTTGCTGACGAAAGGGGCTACAAAAGTAAGCAGATCAGGATCGAGTATCATCTGCAATGGTTGACAAAGTGAAATTTATAAAATACATGGAGATTTAAGGTTTCCAGTTTTGTATGTAGTAGATTCTCAAACCTGTAAAACCTTAAAAGCTACATTGGTCTTGGGTTTAATCACCAGAAACTTGCTTTCTGTAATAGTTAGAAAGAAGAGTATGTCAACTTCATAAACTTAAGAAAGCAAAGATGCCAAATTATGTAAAACAGGTTGATTAGTTTGCTTTCCAGACACTATTATTTTCTCTCTTATAGACATTTACTACTGATGGCCCTCAAAGGAATCACTCAGCTACTTGTGCAAATTAGACCCCACATAACAGGTCAGAACAAAATTAAAGGGCCTTGTATATTTTAACATTCTAGTACACTTACAAGCATGCTTAAACATCATACTTATTTATAAATCATGAAAGATGACTTATCACATTATGTAAGATTTCCTCAGATTTCCCTTCCAGAGATATATGATGAATATGCCTCTGTTCTTAACCATTTCACTTATATAATCCTATTGACAAATTAACTTTCTTTTTTTATTGCAGTCATGTCAATGACCTGCTGGAACAGCATGTGGCATAAGCATCATTTCATGCCAGTGCCATTTACCCACCACTACACAGAGAACTGTGTTCGTTGCTAATTCACTATCTTCATGTTATACGCCATACGATTCCTTGGCATATACAATCCAAGCACCATATGACAATAATCTTCTAAAATGCAAAGGTAATGTGGTGTGACACCTACTAAAAGATAAAATAGCAAAACCACGTGCCACTACAACAAGGGCACCAATCATGAGGTCAGTTACATCATGTACATATACATGTAAGCCAATTTAGGAAAATAAACACCAGCATTCCAGTAATATTGCCTAGTTAATGATTTAACCAAAGATCCAAAGCCCAAGTCAGCTCAGCTAAAATTTTACAAAAAATTAGAAAGAAAAACAAAAAAGAAAAACAAAAAGGTCAGCCAGATTTGACATGCAACATCTTTAAGTCCATGATCAGGGTTTTTTAATGGCAGTTGGTATACCTCAAGTCTTTAAGTGAGATTTTTCCTCACCTTGTTTCCCTTATTATCAATCATCTTGTGGTGAAGTTTACATGTCAAGGTAATAGATCTTTTGAATATCAGATCCTTTAGTCTCTTTTACATAAGAAAATTAAACATAACTTATCCACTAAGTTTGGCATCAGAAGTACTATAAATAAAAGCAAGAAAAGAGTCTAGAAGATGCAGAGGAATAACAAGGTCGACTAACTTTTCAACATTACCTCGTAATGTAGGAAAATCCAATCAGAACTGAGGTCACTATGTGATGAGACATCATTATTGAAAAATCTTTTCTGCGAGTTTCCCATGCAACAAGAGCACCAATACTGTAAACGTAAAATCCACATTGACACATGTAGAATAGGATCAAAGAAGACCTAACAAAAATGGAAAAGAGGAAAAAGAAAAAGTTAGTATGAACAAAAGATATGAGGAAAATATGAGAGCTACACTATTGATATTATGTTAACCTCAGAGTGAGCTACATGCTTAAGACATCTAAAAGTCATAGACATTAAATCATAATGGCTATTAGTTACTTAATAAAGAAGACTGGAACAGGTAAAACAATTGTTTTAATTTGCTCAATGGATTCACATGATTTAGCTGCAGAGCAGTTGAGTATCATTATGCTTTGTTATATTGATGAAGAATGCCATGTTTATAAATTATCATGACTGAACTTTTTTTATATACTTATATCTCTCAGGTACATATGAACATCTCAAGTTGACACGATGAAGAACACCCATTGGCATAACTAAATTCCATAGTTATACCAATCATGAAGGCCAGTTTCAAAACAGAATCACATCATGTTTCATTCTGCACTCCGTAACTAGATTGGTACTATTCATGGAAGAAAAGAGGTCAGATGGCTCAATTTCTTTAGGATGACACTTGCATGAATTCGAGCTACAGAATCAATGCTTGCTGCCATTCAATCCATTTGCAGCTTCTGGAAGGCCCAGCAAGAAACTACAGCAAGAGAAAGTAATCATGGAAAACTTATGACGGTTAAGCCAGTACCTGATTAAAAAAACTTCCATAACATGATACCAACAAATGGTTAAAGGCAGCTAAAAGAAAATATTGTACACACATAGGCAACTGTGTCCTATGTGGTTGATATATTTTAGCTAGGAAAAAAGATGTCGAATGAATCTGTGGTTTGTCTTGGTGATAATGTCTAAAAGTACTATTTTGGATAAGGAACAAAAATCCAACTTTTAAGCATTAATGCGAATAGAAGAATTTTCACTAAAGAAACCTAAGTCAGCTTGTACCAAATACTGTTTCATTTCATAAGCAACAATAGTTTTGTATAGTCTCATTAAAATCAACATGAGCACCCAAATGTCGCATGTAAGACAAACTTTCTACAATAAAAAGGAGGAATGTCCATCATTTCTGGACTCACTTCAATTCTTGGTTTGGCCACCCTTTGAAGTATTCTTTTGTATCCAATGACCAAGTCTCCTGCTTAATAATTGAAAGAACCCATATTTGAACAGCAGCATAATATGTCAGCTTCCACATTGACTCGGAACACTTTGTAATTTTTGACCATTTAGCCTCGTCATTCATCATAGGAACAGCTTTATAACTCAACAATTTCATAGCCAAAGGCTGAAAAGGATTAAATGAGTTCATAAGTTCCAAAAAGAACATCGAAATCATATGAGTGTAGCATTTTAGAAAGCCTTGTTCGACATATAAGATTAAGTAACAACCAAATATGCAGTGCAAAGAAGAAACTATCAAGGGTATATGACAGATTTGCCAATGCAAAAGTTGATCTATTAAGATGTATGACAGCACATTCATTAATGTGTTTAGAAAAGTTTAACTTGGTCTATGTAACAGAAAAATTCCATCAACAGCAAGATTTGTCAATCCTTTAGCCACAAGTGGGAAAGCCACTATGATTTTTCAAATAGACAACACCTTGAATCACATTGAATTTTAGGGCTTGAGTTACTCTTCTGCCTCGCGACAATATCTAATTCTTCAACAAGAACAAACTTTTCTAAGCACCACAAAATCACTTAGCTTTCCGTTCATTCTCTTTCATAGGAATCTTGACATTCTATTTTATATTCAAAAGAGAAAAGATGGGATGCAGTAGAGATCTCAGCGACCACTTTATACACGATGCACGATAACTCATCGACGAAATGCTCCAAACGAGGAAAAGAAAAGGAATGAAGGATAAAAGAAAAGGAGAACGGAAGATCCAAACCTTGTAGACGAAGCGGTCGAGCAGGAGCCGGGCGACGAATGACCCGAATGCGAAACATAGCACAAGCAAGAAATTGGCCGGCTCCGGGCCAACGCCGGCGTGAACCAAGGTCATGTCGATTTAGGACGAAAGAAACCCAGCGCTGATCAAACCACCACCGCCACAACCGATGGATCCAAGCAGCGGAACGATGCCTTGGTCAATTGCTGCCGGTATCTGCGCCTGAGACGGAGAGATGGGAGATGGGGCGCGAGTGGCTCGATGAGGTTAGGGGGATCGCCGAGACTACAGCTCGCTTTGGCCCCCCTGCGTTCTATTTCTATTAGGTGGTGTCTAAAAATAAAGGTCGAGCGACCGAACCAGAAAGAAGAGAGAGAGAGAGAGAGAGAGAGAGAGAGAGAGAGAGCACACGAATTGCAAATTTGGCCACGACTCTTGTCAGGATTGATCTCACAACCTACTCTCATATAAGTATTTCGAATTTAGATTATTTTAAATCTTAAAATTTTAGTAACTTAACTAATTAGAAAGCACCGCAGAGAGTATATTAAAAGCCCATAAGTGATCTATACTCAACAATATATCATCGTCGAGGAGGATTATCGAGATAGTCTCATCGAGGGGTTATAGGAGACACCTCCAAAAGGGTTTCGATCTATTGTCGAAGACTTATTTATTATTAAAGAGAACTCATCAAAAAAGGAAATGATGTTGCTTACCTTTTAGAACTTGTTATTGGTTGTAACATCATTACTTACCAAAGAAAAATTGATCTAACCCGGATCAAGACATCTTGATCAGATCGAACTGACTCACGGATTAGTAAGGTTGAAACTATTCTATTCAAGGATATTATCGAGATTTTAAATAAAAATTATCCTTAGTGAAAAATAAATATCAAAGCATTTTATTATTAGAGTTTTGGATAAATTACACTTTTTTATTTTTATGTGACTTTTGAAATATTATCCAACAAAAATGGTTTGCTCGCCAAAATATTTTAAGAAAAAATAAAACACTCATTTTAATGTAGCCCTCTCACAAACCCTATCCATAGGAAACAAAGATTCCATGAATGCATCTGTAGAAAATAATGTTAGCCAAAAGAATAAGCATCGTTAGCCGAAAGAATAAATTTTCTTTAGATTGGTTCTTTGTAATAAATAGTAGAGGTAAGATTATCTAAAAATCAAATTGACATCAATCATTTTAATACTATATAACCCGTAAAAGATAAATGATTAAATGAGATGTCAAATATGTTGATAAAGGAATCATTTGATCGATCGATTATTGATATGACTTGTAGGCTCGTGAGAAATTATTTATTTTGGACGATAGACGTACCCGCATGATTTTATCATTTCAGAACTCGTAAACTCTAAAAGATACTTATAAAATAGAGAAGACCCGATGAACTTAAGAACGGTTGGTTCTATACTCCTCGATCAATCCATTATCAGTACTAATTTGGTTGAAGGCAACCTACATATTTTAATTGTGTGAATTATGTACCCACATCAAACAACTTTATAGCATCCTTAACCTAATTAACTTTGTGATCCAGATCTAGTTCTACAGAGACGTCGTAGCGCCTGCTACTTTTGGAGTCACTGTCACCAGAAGCTGGCATATTTAATGGCTTTTCTCTTCACCAGAAGCTGTCACTTATAGGTGTCTCTGTTTATGCATCAGTTGCGTGCCTAACGCTAAGTGAGCGACCAACCATTGCGTGGGCGTCGTGATGCTGATGCTAATTTTGTATTGTATGCGTACAGTAGCAAGCAGTCATTATTCACACACACGAAGGGAAAGAGGAGACAGCATTAGCAGTAGCGGAGACGGAACGTACGAGCCCATCGAACAATCGAGACGTCCTCACTCACGCGGTGTATATGACGACGAAGCACGGCAGTACCGCCCTCGGGCTGTACACCAACAGCTCGTCCTCGCCGACAGCGCCGCCGCCGCCGCCGCCGTTGGGCACCACCGAGTCGAACCCTGCCCCCTTCTCCTCCTCCTCCGCTGCCTCGCCGTGTCCGTGCGCCACCCTCCCGGCCACCACGCGGCACACCAGCATCGCCCTGCGCGCTCCCAGGAAGGCGAACTCGCGCTCCAGGTCCTCCGGCAGCGAGGCGTGCGCGCCCCAGCTGGTGGAGTACGTCGCGATCCCGTCCAGGTCCGCGTGCTTCCCCGTGAAGCCGTGCCGCACGATCGCGCAGGCGCAGCAGTAGGGGCTCCCGCACGCGCCCGCCGGCGCCGCGCCCCCTCTCCGTTCCGCCTCCCGCGAGCAGAGGATCGTGGTGCAGTAGAATCTCAGCCGCTCGTTACCGTCCGCGATGCAGCGCCCGTCGCCGCGGCCGCCGTTGCTCGCCTCGTACCGCGCCGCTCTCGACCGAACCGCGTCGCGGTACTCCTCGTACCGCGCGAGGGTCCGGGTCGTGTTGTGGATCTTGAGGATCCGGCGGACGACCAGCGACGACTCCCCGATCCACCCCGACCGGAAGATGATCCGGACGATGTTGTAGCCGGAGTCAGCGTCGCGGAGCTCGGAAAAGGAGTGCTTCGCGGCGTGGTGGAGGTCGAGGAGCTGGGGTTTGCTCAGGACCTCGCCGCACGCCGGACAAGGGTAGATTTCGTCTTTGTAGGAGAGCGAGTGGTGATCGGCCACGTAGAGTCGTGCTTGCCCGTCAGCTCTACCATCGGGTGATAGGGAGATCAGTTCTATGGGAGAGCGCCGGTGTTGCTCTTGGTTCTCGCTGTTGGGTTTGCGGAAGGAGAGGAGGCGGCTGAGATATGATCGGATGGAGAGGGGCTTCTTCGTGCGGGGGTCGGAGGGCACCGGAAGGGTAGGGAAGAAAGGTGAGATCTTTCTCCTCTTAATCGGCGGAGGTGGGTCGTCGGAGCTACTGCAGGAGAAGAAGAAGCAGCCGAGGTGGAGGAGGAGGAGAACAAAGAGGGAGAGGAAGCTGCTGAAGCAGGATCCCTCGGTCGTCATCTCGTCATGGGACAACAGAAGAGGAAACCTGTGGGTTGGGTGGGTGATGAAGAAGAATCCGTCTTACCCGGCGAGCTACTAATAAAAGGAAGGAGACGAGATGGCTTTCTGCAAAAGAAAGAAAACACGAGAGATCAGAATCTGTGTCCCTTTCGGAGTGCAGATCACATGCAGAGAGTGGCCGAGTTATCTGCAAAGAGAAGTCCTCAGTGTCCTCCTACTGTCACACGACCAGATTCCAGTAAACTAAGTCCTCCATCGACGGCCACGTCCTTCGGTCTCTTCTCCTTTACCAGACAAAGATGACTGCAAGGGGAATGGCGTCGGCTTTTGACCTCCGTGATCGACTCTTCACTGGGCCGCAACGTGGAATCCGCCGAAGGCTGCTGCCGCCATGGATTTCTGGTTTGGTGGGGTGGTAAGTGCACGACGGAAAACAAAGAAGAGGCGATGAGAGCCCCAGCCACCGGACATATGGCCCGAATCAATTAATTAGGATTAGACATGTCCGACGTGAGACTATGGCTGAACTCTGCACCGACGCGTTACTTTTGTGTGAGATTCCAGCTAACCTATCGGACGTTAAACATCGAGAGATCCAACATTAAGAGGATGGGAGCATTATTGGATTCACCGGAGATCGTTGAGGTGCATCCGTGTTGACCACTCACTCTACTAGAGAAGACGAGGCATTGATGGTTCATTAACTATGAATCCCCTAACGCTGTGTTACAAGTTGTCTAATAATATAAGAGTGATACTTTAGCAGTAATACAATGAAGAGACGATGTCTTTTGACGTGTTCATCTCCATGCATAGATCATTTATTTGAGTGTAGAGGCGATGTGAAAGGATCTATCCGCATGTCGGACTTTATATCGGTCTACCCGACCCGTTCTGGGCCGAAGAGATTCTCCTCTCGATTCGTTGATTGGGACACGTCCTCACCGTCCATCGGCCGACTTGCCGCGGCCTCCTTATCCTCTTCCCCCACCGGATATCGAAGCCAGGAGAGGATTCCACCCACCGGATATTGAGCAGAGGGCACGGGAAAAAAGCTTTCAAGGACAAATGGGGTACAAACGCTTCCCATCGGATTTGGATGTTTCTTTGCTCGTTGCTCGGTAGGGTTTCCTTTCTGAACGGAGTGCTCTCGAACTCCGTCAGATCGACGAGGAATTCGACATTTTGGAAGGTGACTATCATCCTCTTATCTAATATTTCTTCCTGGACTAACGTGTTTCGATTCGCTTAACGCTTTCGTTCTCGATACGAAGGGTGTCTGTGGGTAGCCCCATTGAAGGAATCGAATGGTAGAGTTAGATCCCTTGGCATAAGCTCTGTCCGATGCTGAATGACGATGAAAGAAACATTCTTTTAGGTTTGACAGGGCTGCTGATGATCAATTTTCAGCATCCTTTCTTTTTCCCCCTCGCACCATTTTAGGCTGCAGTAGTATATATATTTATTTATGTTCTTGCAGATAGTCGTTTAGGTATCTTGAAAGACTGTGATTGTAGTGTTAACTTTTACATCTAATGTGCGACTTATATGACACATCCACAAGAGTAAAACATGTAGTTGCTCTCTGTGCAGCTCCTGGCAGCTGGAGTTGGTGTGTATCGAGACTGATTTTTACCGCATTGCATCTGATAATCTCGGTAAAGTGCACTATAATATATACATTAAAGTATTTCTCGACTGGTGTGACGTCTGTTCGAGCTATCATTCTTAACATTCAGCTGCTTTCTGGTGTGTGTCTTTGTCGTTCTGACTCCTGTTGCAGAACATTTGAACACTCTTGGTTTATCACACATATGGTATTTTTTTAAAAGAAAAATTCCTTAAAAGAATTACATGCATATCTTTGGAATCTGATATTGCTCATTCGGTTCACCATGCATTAGGTTCATGTAATGTGTGAGGTCTGGTCTCAATCCAGATTTTTATGCCCCTCTCTGCTTATGAACCCCGACCTCAGATGGTTAGGAGTTTGATGGGATGGGACTTCCATTATGTTCTTTTGAGATGCACAAATACATGTTCACTTGTTGAGAAATCCATGGTCAATTGACATTTTGATAATTGATGATTGCCTTCTCTCTGAATGCTTTAGCTTGTTCTTTTTGTACTTGATGTTTCAAATAAGCAAGGACTTACCTCAGGGGAATGTCTGCGAAGATGCGTCACCTTTGTTTTTTTTCTCCAAACCATCTAGTTGATAAATTTGGATGTAGACCAACGAGATAGGCATCTCTGTTGGAACTGTAGATACTTAATCTGAAAAGAAATGTTTTCTGTGGATATAATGTTAAACTTCCCATGAATTGTTGTGCTTCTTAACTGTCGCAATTTGTTTTGTAAACAATTAAACATTTTTCTCCTGAAAAGAATGTTTGAAAAATTTTAGGGATAATTTCCTTTGTGCTCATTTTGATCTATTGATTGTGTGCTAATGAGAGCTCATCGAGAACTTTAACATTACATTAAAGGGTTTCTGTTTACAAATTTATTTATTCCACAGTTAGGAAATCTGTGGATTATGGATATAAATTATTTTGGGCTTTAATAGCAAGGCATCCTCTATTGCGGTGATTTAAAAAAATTCATTCTCTTACCATTTGGCATACTTGTGCTGCAGAGAACTTTTGCCAAGTTCACCAGTGTCAACCAGTTTGTTCTTTTTGATCTGTGAACCATATGGTCCCAAAAATGCTCTTCGAAAATTATGATCACTGTTTAAGCTCTCTCTATTGTTTGTTGATGTCTCACTGTTCCACTTCTAGTGTCATGTAGATAATATTTTTCTGTCTAGTAGATGTGTGATGGATATTAAATAATGTTAAGAATAAAAGTTACTTCAAAGCGTTAAAACCAATTTGCTATTGGGAAAATCATTAGCTGATTTGATTTGCCTGTTGAGCGGACAGTCTCATAGAATCATTGATCATTGTCAATATCATAAATTTATGTCTGCAGATCTCGAGTCAAAATCTGTATCTCCCAGCCTAGTTGTCATTGGATTTTAGGTGAGAGGTCTCCTTCTGCATTAAATATCTTTTCATATTCAAGTGTATGTTGCTAAAATATATGGGTTTGAAGCTAAATATCTTTTTAAAGTAGATTTCTTTTGCAGTCACATGTATGATATGCAATTCCTTTATGAGATGAATTTACTGCATACATTTTATTTTCTAGTTCATGATTATGTTGAAGCTTATAATTCTGCATCTACTTACTAATAGAATAATTTGAGTTGAGACGGAAGTCATGCAGGGTAATTTTTGATTGAAGGGATTCTAACGAAAAAACCCACTATTTTCTATAAGACCAATTTAAAAAGGAAATAGAATCTACAAGTTGTATATGGCTGTGTTATTCCAATTTTTATTTATTTATTTTGGTATTGTTGGCTTAGCTGACATCTTAAAGCATTGACTTTTTTCTCCTAGGTGTGGTGATCTTCCACTTACTGTTGCAATTGGTTTACATTCCATGGATCTGATAGATGGTGTTAATCAAGTGCAGGGTGACATCACTAATGTTCGAACCGCAGAAGTGGTAAAAACCATCTTGCTATGATATCTTGTTCTTCTTAATAGTTAGACAACTTCGTTCTTCTCCTTCCATAACTTTGTTATGCAACTTAAGTTATCCACTTTTATACGAATGGAATTCAGGTTGGATTCTAAAGATTTCTTTGAGACAAAACGTTTACTAGTACAATCTATGGACTTATTTCGATATTTGTTTTTCGTATCATCATGTTATGCCATGCTAGTTATTCTCTAGCTGCTTTGCTATTGGTAGGTTGGAGGCACACTTACACCTTCAATTCTGGTGCATGAACTTTCAAATTTCGTGAGTGGTTAAAAGTAAATTCAATGGTTGCAAGAGAGAGCATGACAACATTGCCAAATGTTCTTGGCCACAGCTGAACCATTTAGTGTCGAAATGCTTCGATCTTTTTGATCTTAAGATTATCGTTTTGGTTCATCTCTAACAGTTGAAATGCTTCCATTTCCACAGGGAAATATCAAGAGGGAGTAAAGAGTTCCTTTCTGCATTGTTAATGGGGGATCATAACTCGGAAGACAATGGAAGACTAGATCGGTGAAACATGAAAAAAACCTAGAAATCTATTGTTGCCGTACTGTTTGTCGAGGAGAGAGATGGGATTAATGTTCTATGGTGCAATGCTTGCATGCAGAGTCTCTAACACGATCTCCTTGACGAGGAGTGGAGGAATTTGATGCAGTCTTCGACGGCCTCGGACAGGTGAGAGTCCGGGGGTGCAGCGGCTCCCGGCAGACTCACGCTCGAAGGCACCGTGGTCGGCGGCAGCCTTCTTCTCCCGGAGACGGAGTGCAGGGCCTTGGAAGCTCTGTTCCGGAGAAGGCGGACGAACTTGAGCGCTGTGGATCGCACATTCTTGGCCAGTTCAGCAGAGAAGCCACCGCCTTCATGTTTGATCTCCTCGCAGTCTCTAGAACTGACGCTGGACGTGGAACAGATGGTAGGCATCTCATTCATGTCGTCGAAACCGCAGCCGGCGCTCCTGTTGCACTTCTTCGACATGGTGTTGCCACGGCACGGCGCAGACATTTATCGCAGCCCGGCGCCTCAGCAGAGCAATGGAGTAAAAGTGGAAGTCGTCGTGGAACACTAACTGGGCCGGTATGTGCTTGGCGTCACGCTTTGGTCGATGGTGGAAGAATCTTTATCATCTCGGAAGCAAGTGAAAGAAAGGGACGTAATACTACCTCACAGTTGGAACATTTCACCACCGGGAGCTCTCTCGCGTCATTTCTTTTGAGGTAGGCTTCGGCTGCACCGACTTCAAAGCTCGCGTGGTCTTCCCATGGGACGTCGGTCCGTGGACGACCGGCTTGCTCCGGTCTTTTTACTCGATTGGGTCTCTCGCGTGGTCTTCATGTTTCGTACGACATGCATGCTTTCAGGCCTAACGTTGTTGGGGTTGGGCATGAAGTCTCCAAAGTGGAGGAAGAAAACCGGCCGGGTTTAGCGTGTACATGACAGTCTGATGGTGGAGCCTTTGTCAGAAGAAGGAAATATATGCTTCGGGACGCAACTTGAGGAATGATTTGAGCCACGACTTTCACCACTTCAACCCCGATATGATCATTCGTATTCTTGATGGCCAAGCGCCCACGTGACGTACACGTGACAACTTTGGGTGGTATATATTCCTCTTCGCCGAATGATCGATCGGTTTCCGTTCTCATCTTTGAACGAATCCTCCCGGCGCAAGAAGTAGGGCGGAGGAGGATCGGCCAACCGTCTTCTTTCTCCTCCTTCACGGGTGGGTAAATTTTCGACCCTCTTTGATATTTAGCTGATTTCTCTCGTTCTCGAGGGTTCGTCACCGCGTACTCTGATCCTTTCTTTCGGATTTCGTCTTGTCTTTCTTCTCCTTTATTGTTGTTAGGGTTTCTTGTTGCTGTTGTCCGATCGCTTGGGTTCTGATCCTTTCTTTCCGGTCTCTTCTTGCTTTTCTTAATTTTGTTTTCGTGAGACTTGGTATTCATATGGAAATTTTGCGTTGCGATCGCTTGCCAGATCCATGAACCGAGAGTGTAACAGATCAAGAACTCTTTTGTTACAAGATCCGTGATCCATGATCTACTACTGCAAGGCTGATTTCTCTCGTTCTTGAGGTCGCGTCACCGTCTTTCTCGTTCTTTGTTGGTTTCATGCTTGGGTTCTAATCATTTCTTTCCAATCTCTTTCTGCGGTTTCTTGATTTTTGTCATGAGATTTCATATTCATATGGAATTATTGCGTTGCAAGCGATCGCTTGCCAAGATCCAAGAATTGAGAGTCTAACAGATCGAGTACTCTAATTACAAGCTTCATGATGTCAAACGAGAAGAGTGAACTCGAGTCAGGATTTACGATGGTTACTGATCGGCGACACATTAATTGATGCGAGGGTTACAAAGATTACAATCGCACGCGCTCGCGTAAACTATGCCTCTATCTGAACCGTCGACCTTGACGTGGATGGGGAGGGTCCAACGACCTGAAATCAAAAGAACCCACCCGCGTCATAGTTTTTGAGTACAGTGGAACGGGAAATTAAACTCATCAAGACCCTGGAAAACTTTTGTCTGATTCCAACTTTTCGAATAAGCACAAGCACAATTTTGATCAGATCCTACGTGTTCATTTATTTTGATGTAGGAATTCATTCGGTAGTCATGCTTATTAATCATGCTATTCCGACTTAGGTACTGGGCGTTGTTTGAACTTGAAACATTGGGTAACACAAAGGAAGGTCTTACTGTAATTAATATTCTCCCGGAGAATTAAGGATGAATTTTGAGGAGAGTCGATTTTAGTTGGCAGTTCAGTATTTATTGGTGTAGATTAATTTCACACATCAAAATTAAAAATAATTTGATTACTATCTTGCACTTTAAAGTCATGGCCCAAGATTTGCGCTGGGAACTGTGCAGGTTCGATTCAGCATCTTTCTTGGGCTGCGAGAAGGAGCCAATTTAATAGTCACCAAAGGATTCGAATCTCAACAACCAACAAAGGGGAACAAAGAAAGAAACATCTACATTAAACTTGAAACATACAACTGGGCATTGGAGACGAGGAAACGAACACAGTGCACTGTAGAGCAACATATCCCACGACTGGAACGAGTTCACAAGGCAGTTGGTGTAAGGCTTGGTCGCCGCCATCACTTCTCTACATGGATACGTAGCTCATGAACTCCTCGTCGCGGAGGAGAGCCGTCATGGTCTCCGGCGTCAGGCACACCTCGAGCTCCACGCTCCCGCCACCCTCATGCCCCGGGAACGCCGACATCTTCCCGTCGAACTTGTTGGCCCGGCCACTCCGCACCGCCGCCGGCCGACCCCACCCGAAGTCATTTCCTTCATACATGGGGAACCGGGGGGAGCTCCCCATGGTCAACCCCGCGCCGTCCGGGTTCCCCAGCGGGAAGCACCGTGGCGCTGCCTCCCACTCCGCCACCCCGCGCCGAATCGCCTCGTCCCCGTGCCCCGCCACGCTGCGGTGCAGCAGCGCCGCCACCCAGCGGAGGTCCCGCCCCGCCACCTCCCCCACCGCCGCCTTCGTCGGGATGCTCTGGATCGCGTTCCCGAAGTAGTTCGCCGCCACTGGGGGAACCACCCGGTGCCGGCAATTCACCGCAATACGGAACGTGGTTATGGCCTCAGCCGGCAGCCGCGTTCGCGCCCGCGTCACCGACCGCCAGACGTGGGCGCACAGTGACTGGAAGGACGAAATCTCCTCCTCGTCGTTCACTTCCACCGTCTTCGGGTCGTGGGTTTGCTTGCCGTAAACCTCGGCGTCCTTGGAGTCTCCAGCGACGACGTTTTTGGTGCGGCGGTTGGCCCTCGATTTTAGCTCGAGAACGGCCTCCCGGCTGAAGTGGAAGATCCGTTCTCGAAGCGGTGCATTCACTGGAAAGGTCACCTCCGGGCCACGGCCATCCGGGAAGCACAGCACCGCCTTGGACCCGCCGAAGTAGTTGCGGTGGAAGTCGGGCTTTGCGGGGTCACCGCCGCGGCAGAGCTCCGCCCATGCGTTGAGGAAGTTCCAGAAGGAGGTCCCATCGACGACGGCGTGGTTGACGGCCGCGCCAAGGAAGACAGCTCCATCGGCAAGCTCGGTGAGCTGGAAAGCCGCCAGCGGGCGGGTGTGACCGTGGAAGCTGATGGATCCGTCGAGGGGGAAGAGGGACTTGACTGCCGGCGGCACATCTGCGGAGGGAGGGAGGAGGTCAGGGAGGGAGAGGGAAGCGGCGGTGGCATGGGAGAACTCGGCGCCGGCGTCGTTGCAGGAGACGAGGATGCGACCATCAGGGAGGGTGCAGAGGCGGCCAGCGAGGGCGGGGAAGATGGAGAGGGCGCGGGAGAGGGAGGAGGTGAGGAGGGAGAGGAGTGAGGCAACGGGTATTGGCGGAGAGGAGAAGAAGAGGCCCTTTTGGATGTAGTGGCACGACAGCATGGGGAGGTCGGACACCGAGAGCGGGAGGTCGCCGAGGTCGGACCTGCGGTCGGGGTAGACTGTGCATCTCGACACCACGGAGACAGCAGCAGCAGGAGAGGAGAAGATGGAACTGAGACCACCACTGATGAGAGAAGCAGCAGCAAGAGAAGGATAGTGGAAGGTGGAAAGGATTGGAGACATGGTGATATGCGTTCCTGGTTTGCTCAACGCAGCAGCTGATTTCTAGCACTTGGGATGGAAGAGAAGCCGGGAGCTGGGGAGGGCTTATAAAGGGGGGATGGAGGTTTGGTGCATGCATTTGGGACTCAGCTAGACTAGTCTGACACTACAGCTCTTGGTTGAATGAAAAAACACTTAAAAGATTTGGGACTCGTCATAGGGAAAGATCAAGAGAAGTGGGTGTAGCACAGTATAATAATTGGTTTCTTAGGGCACAGCACAGTATAATAAATAGTGTGTTAGGTTACAGTCTAATAAAGATTGATTAAGAGAAAGTTTACTTCTTAAAAGATGATATCTTTGATAGGATTATATTTTTTTTATTATTTTTATTCTTATACTTGAGCTTATAAAAAGGTGTTTGAATATTATAATATATCAATTATAAATGAATCAGAAAATTAAGGTTTTCATATGTTATGGATAAGTGGTGGGAGACCATATTTATTAATATATCAATTATGTATATATATATATATATATATTTTAAAAGGTACAATGTTTAGGTTCAAGTACAAGAATAAAAAGGAAATTATAGAATAAAGAAAATTATAATTCTATCAAATCATATATATATATATATATATAAAAGAAAAAGTAATAGTTCTAACTAGGTTTGAAAAAAAATATTCCTCTTGATGATATTTTTTATTGATATACTTCCATCTTAGTTGTGATAATGTTTAAGATGTTTATGAGGATTTATAATCTTCACTAATTTTATTTCTTCCATTTTTTATCTATTTTATTTTCTCATTGTTGACTTTATATGTGATAACTTATTACATATTTAAACTAATTCAATTTATTTTATTAATAATCGACTAAATTGGTCCTACATTATTTTTTTTTTGTTGCGTAAGAACTCTATCCTAGTTCATATAATTGAAATATGGATCGACATTGATGAAAAAAATATATAGTTATATATATAATTAAATATAGAACAAGAAATAATTTGATGATAATAGAGAAATAAAAAAAAATGAAAAAGATATCAAATATAACTATCGTTTTTTTTTGTTCTGAAAGAATACTTTTAGGATGAAAGTCTCGTATCTCCCATGTAGTCGATAAAATTATGTCACTAAAAAAATAAATGTGATCTTACATCATTCACACACAAACAAGATGAAAAGAACTTAATTTTCTGATTTATTTCTAATTGATACATTATAATATTAACCCCTTTTTACCGGCTCAAGTATACAAATAAAATAAAAATTATAATCCTATCAAATCAAATATATGATATCTTTTTTTATTTTATTTTGTAGAAGGTAATAATTTTTACTTGACTAGGAAAAATAATCTTCCACTCGTTTGTTGATATTCTTGATTAACAAACTTTAATGAATCTTTAAGATTTTCAATCAAGATTTGTAATCTTCAATAATCTGATTTCTTCCATTTTTCGATATCTTTTTTTCTCTTTATTAAATAGATATCGATGTGTATCAATTTATTACAGATGCAAAATATTCTTAAATTAATTAAATTTATTTTATTAATAAATCAAATAGATTCGTCCGGCATCATTGTATAAGACTTCATCTCGAGTTCTTATTATTAAAATATGGATCATGATAAAATATCTTGACTAAGCTAATACATAGGAAACAACATATTTTTTATAATAAAAAATAAAAAGTGAGAACAAAATGATAATAGTAAAAAAGATAATAGAAAAAATAAAGGATAATTATAAAAAGGAGATTGAATATTGTAATGCATCAATCAAAAGTAGAAATGTAGTAAATTGAATTCTTTCATCTTGTGTCCGAGTGATGTGAAGATATATATATATATATATACATACACTTTTGGATAATATGATTTTATTATCCATGTGGTACGACTCTCATCATAAGAGTAATTTTGTCCGGTCAAAAGCGAGTACAGTAGCTATTCTTTATTTTTTGAATCTTTCTATCCCCTCTTTATATTCCTCTACTACCCAAGAAAAAAAAAATCTTCAAATCCTATATCACATTTGGTATAGAGGGATTGATTTAGTAAACACATTCTATCATCAAGGCTAATTCTTATTTTAATTATATGAACACGGGCAAGTTCTTACGTAATGAAAATATATATTAGAGGACCAATTTAGTTAATTTATCAATAAAATAAATTTAATTAGTTTATAGATATTTTACATATGTACTAAATTATTACACTTCAACATCTATTCAATAAAGAGAAAAATAAAATAAATATAAAAAATAAAAATTAGATTATTAAAAACTATAATTTTTGATTGAATATCTTAAGGATTCATTTATAAAGTTGAAAGTATTTATGAGTTAAAGATTTTTACCATATGAATATCTTAAAGATTCATCTAAAAAGCTCAAGATCTTATAATATACTGTTAACTACTTAGTTAGTGTTGTGATCGTATTGACACTAAGAAGAGGGGTGAATTAGTACTTTCGTAAAAATTATATCGATTCAAAAATATCGTTTGATCAAACCTGAATCAGAAAGATGTTTAACTTGCAACATTTATAAAAGTAGTGAGTAGGTAAATCAGTAAGCAATATGAATGAAAAGCGTAAACAAAAATGCAAATTGAATTTATAGTGGTTCAGTCGATACGACTTATGTCTACTTCCGAGTCCTCATCCGTCGAGGCAACTGACGTTCATTAACGATCTTCTTTCAATAGGCGAAGACCAACTACTCTCTTATAACTTTTTCTCCTTTTGATAAGCTTAGGAGAGAACCTTTACAACCTTATTTTATAAGGAAATCCTCTCAACCTCCCTTAGAATAACCTCTAAGCTCAAGGAGGAAGGACTCGGCTTTCTAATAGAGTTTTTATGCTCTCAAATACTAAGTTTTCATTCTTTTTTCTTGCTTTTTCAAGTAGAAAAAGTATAGGATATTTATAGGCCCCAAATAGCTTAAAAAATAAAGCCAAAAAAAGGTCTCTTCTCAGGTTTCTTGGGTCCTAGCGATACCACCGCCATTACTGGGCGATACCACCATCCGCCAGATTGACAACTGGTGGTACTATCACTTGTCAAATTGATACGAGGTGGTACCATAGTCAGGTATTGCCTCACATAGTTTGGGAGATTATGTTTGGACGGTACCATCGCCTGACACAAGTGATACCACCCCCCAAGTTTCCCAAAGACGTACACTATCTTATAGGTCCTGGTCATAGGTGCTCTACAAGCCAATCATGTGAGTGATAATATGTGTGACATGATACATATTTTTTCTGTTTATTATATTATAAAATTTTATCAATTTATATTGTTTGTTGCATATATGCTTATATATTGTAATATTCATGAATCTGTGTAATGAGAATTGGATCGTGATGTGATCATAATAATGAGACTGATTCACCTTTAAACATAGACTCTAAATAATCCTAGTTATAAGTTATCCGAGAGGGACATCGAGATATTTAGACAGATTGGTGTGCTATATTCCCATCAATATGATGGAGGCAGTTGGTCTCATAGCTGCTTGTGTGGGGACATTAGGGCTATAGTACAAGTGCTCATTGGAGAATGAGTTCACTAATTAATCCACTCACGGAATGCTGGATAATTAATGATACCTCATAAGCAGACAATGATTCCGTTGTCCCAATGGTGTACTTGGTCCTTAGACTTGAGACACCAAGGATGTCTTGTATGAGTACTACACTCTTTGATACAGGACTTATAAGCATAGAAGTTCTAGATCTAGCACAACTAGTCATCGGGAGTGGTAGCCAACCTTACAAGGACTATTGAGTGTCGATAGAGGATTATCCATTCTTGGTGTTATGAGAGAAATATCCCATATATTCTTGCTTAAAAAAATCTCTAGCTAGGGTCATTAGGATTGAGAGAGAAAGAGTTCTCTAGGAGAATCCGATTAGAGCAAGACTCAAGTAGAAATCGTATGCGTCTGACAGTACTATGCCCGGTATATAGTCTTTGAGATATTAGATGGATGAGAGACTATAGGAATATGGTAATTGAGGACAGATAGGTCCAAAGGATTGGATTCTCCTGTATTGTTTGAGGACTATGACATAGTGGCCTAGTATATCCGCAATCGATGAGTTGAGTGAACTATTATGAAGATAATAATTTATTGAGTTAAAAGGAGTTCTGACATGTATGACTCACGGCTAGCTTGATATTGGGCCTAAAGGGTCACACACAGATGGTAGACATTGCGATGAGCAAAGGTTCGGATATGAGATATCCGTCGGAGCCCCTATCTTATTGGATATCCAATAAGCTCATAAATTATTGGATCATATAGGTGAGATCCAATAAGAGCTAATGAGAGATTATTGGATCTACTAATTTAAGTAGCTTGGGTAGTTGGATGAAGATCCAATACCCAATAAGGCAGGATCAGGATCCATTATGGTTAAGTTGACAAGGGACCTCTATAAATATGAGGGAACTAAACACCCATAGGCCAGAGGTTTTTGGTTGCCACCTCTTATTCTCCTCCTCAAATAGTAGGTGTGGAGTTTTAGGCAGCGATTGGAGGAGCGTCGTCGTAGCCCTATTATGTGGATCAGAGTGCTTGACCTCTTTCATCCTCTCATATAGATCTGCAGGGATTTAGGGATATACGATCTCTTTAGGTAAAATACAATCTTTCATATACGTAGTTTTTGGTTTTATGGATTTTGTGTACTAATCTTCGAACGACGACGAGTACATCATTAGGAAATTTGGAGGTTTTTATTTTCTGCTCTTCTACTGCGCATATGATATCGCCCATAAATTTCTCAAGAACAGGCAGTTTCATCACTTGACCTGGCAGTACCATCACTTGAGCCAGCTTTAGAAATTTGAATTAAGCTTTCAATAGGCCCAATTCAACCCTGATTTGGACTTAACTGGCCCCTAATCAAGTTGGCATGGTTGTACTAAAAAATAACTCAATTACGACCTAACCTACTTTGATCAAGACTTGACTAATTACAAACACAAGAATACTATGTTGTCCGGTATGACATTAGTTCATCTAGCGCTTTGTCCGATCCTTCAGCACATCATATTCTCTTGCCTAATTGGCATGTTGACCTTCCGCAACATTCGATCTCCTTAGCGTAATGTCCGATCCTTCGGCTCGATGCCCGAACTC